ATTAATACTTTGAATCACACCTGGAAGACAACCGGCAATCAGTGCAGGCCGCCTAAAAGGCGTGTAACATGGGAGCACCTAGGTGCCCCCATGATAACCCGCGCAGCCTCATTCTGGACCAGTTGAAGCCTCCGGGTGCTCTTCAAGGGTAGCCCCATGCAGAGAGCGTTACAGTAGTCCAGGCGAGAAAGGACAAGGGCATGAGTGACTGTGCACAGAGCATTTTAGCTTTCATATGCTCCACAAGCCAGTCCATCTAGTTATTTTATGGTTCATTGTTGTGCAACATCAGAAAATTAGATTGAGTGAACTTGGATTGACTATGGGTGTGTCATGCAAACCAAATGACAGAATCTTTATTTGTTGGGCTATAACTAATTTAACATGTTAATTTATCTGTGCCCTCCAGCGTGCTATGCAGTTCTACTAGTCAGTATTCAGGTGGGAGAAAAACAAAATTGTACCAGAGTAAATGTGAGCCTAATTAAGCTCCCCTGGTCAGCTGTGTCTGTCAAAAACCCTTTTAACCTTTGGGCAGTGCCTAATCCTCAACTCATTAATCCTTAAAGGAAAGATGTGGTACTATAGTTTGGCTAAAGACACAAAGTATCCCATTACAGAACTTACTCTCAGTATATGACGCTTCTCAGACTGTCAACTATGATAAAGTAAATTGTCTGTTCTTGTCAATTTAACATCTAATAAACTCTACCTATTGAATTTATTTTTGGAAATGGTCTCTGAAGTGTGACAGTATACAGATGTTCATGTAAATAAATGAAATCAATGATTCTCCATAATATTAACCAGCTGCAGCAAACTCACACTTTTTGCTGCCTGCCAGGCCAGTGGGTCAGTGGTCACTGACATAGTGACATGCCCTTCCTTTTCCTGGTTTAAGAATTCATAGGGTATTAGGCAGGCCTTGAAAAAAATGAGGGACAGCACAACTGAAATGACACAATTGTGTAAGGAACTATAACCAAGTTAATGGCTGACTGAGTTACATGGGTGGTATGAACATGAACCAGTGGTGGGTTCCTACTAGTTCAGATCGGTTCAGCCAAACCGGTAGTGGTTGGGTGGCCTGGGTCGCTGGAACCAGCAGCGACTCAGGTCTGCCATGCCCCTGAACTGGTTCCCTGGGCAGTGCCATAGGCAGCACCATCTTGTTTTTCAGTTCTGCGCATGCGCAGAACAATTTTCATTGCACTGTGCATGTACTCATCAAGCGCGTGCAATGCACACATGAGCGAACCAGCAGTAGTGCCTGCTGGAACCCATCACTAGTATGAACCATCTCTTAAAGGCATTTATAGATATACAATCCTGATAATTCCTTAATTGAGGAATACTAGAACTGAGATTTGATTCTAAAATAGTCCCCAACTAGCTGAGCAACTTTTTTGTATTTGGTGACAAAGATACAATGGTTGTGCATGCTTTGGAAATGATTTAGAAAGAGTGCTTTGGAATCCCCAGGTGTGTACATGTAGCACTTCTTTAAAGTCATTGCATGTTTATTTTGGCTCTTGCACAAACCTAAAATAATGTAGCTGCTTTAATGAGCTTGGGATGTGGTGGCTCAGTGGCTAAGACGCTGAGCTTGTCGATCAGAAAAGTCCGCAGTTCGGCTGTTTGAATCTCTAGTGCCACGTAATGGAGTGAGCTCCCGTTACTTGTCTCAGCTTCTCCCAACCTAGCAGTTCAAAAGCACGTAAAAATGTAAGTAGAAAAATAGGGACCACCTTTGGTGGGAAGGTAACAGCGTTCCGTGCGCCTTTGGCATTTAGTCATGCTGGCCACATGACCACGGAGACATCTTCGGATAGCGCTGGCTCTTCGGCTTTGAAAAGGAGATGAGCATCGCCTCCTAGAGTCAGGAACAACTAGCATATATTTGTGAGGGGAACCTTTTCCTTTACGTTTAATGAGCTGGCTTAACAACTCATACGTATTGCTACCTGCTGCAATAAATAGAGCTACTGTGGGGTACATATAACACTATTTAGTTTCTATTGGCATTAATGATTAATGTTGGCTCTTCTAGAATTCATTGCAAGGATGAATACCCCATGGCCTACAAATCTCATATAATACTCAGCCTCTATTTTGTAGCCCCCAGACCGTTCCACAGAAGTTCATATGCCACTGAACTTTGGAGGTACAATTTTATTTATGGTTTGGCTTCATGGAGGCACATCTTGACATATTAAACTGAAAATATCTGCCCCATACCCTCCCTCAACTGTGACATTGCTAGACTTCCAGACATGGCTGTTTTTTGTGGCATGATGATGGTGATTGTGGTCTCCTTTTATAAAAATGTTGCCCTGTTTATTTTTTCAAACTTAGCATTGTTTATAAACAAAGTAAGAACAACTTCAATTACTAACAAAGTTGTACTAATGATATTGCATTGGAGACCACATTCCCCACCTCACATTGAATATGCCAAGCTGTTCCCATGGTTAAAGAATAAACTACTCCCTAGATGTTTCCACAAAGAAATATATTTATGATATCACATAACCTTGGCATAATTATTTCTATACTAGTATTGGAATTACATTTCACTTAAATATAAGTAGTTACTCCGTGAAAGCTCTATAAGATGCATCACTCTTGCAGGATGGAATTTACTATATATTTTCGCAATGAAAAGGAAGAAAAGGAAAATATAATTAGGCCAAGTTGCAACTGCATGCATGCGTATATGTGTATGTGTATGTATATGTATACATATACATTATACATATGCATATGCATACACACACACACACACACACACACACACATATATATAATACTATCTGTGCATAAATGGCTTATTACTAAAGATATGTTGTACATACTTTGAAAACATCAGTGTGACATTTTACTCCTATCTGTTTTTGAGATATTTCATTGCTTGTTAAAAATTGAAGTCTCATTACGCTTCACCATTCCAGCTTCCTTCTATTAATGTACTGTAATCAACATTGATAGCCTAGATTTTCCTGAGATGTTTCAGTCTCTAATTCCTGACCTCACATTTTGGAACAAATAATAAATAATATTATAATATAATGCCTGCAAACCACTTTGTGTTTACTGTTGGTTTAAATCTACTCCTTGCAGTCAGAATGCTGGGCTGAGAATAGCATTTGGTGGATTTCACACTGTCACACACATATACACACACCCTGAAAAAACCTACAAGATACTTCATTAACTTCCCTTCTCCACCTCCAGTGCCCAAACGAAAGGTCAGCAGGGGTCATGGGTAGCCAATAAATGGTTTAGAACCCAATTATCCTTTCCCAGTTTCTTGTCTATCAGTGGGAGAAATGTATGCTTTAGATTAAAAAGGGGGGGGGGGAGAACAGGACAGAAGGACTGAGAAGAGACCCAGAAAGGTTTATGGCCCCATTGCCTATAAAATCTTCTCTTCCTTCTGTTCAGGAACCATAAAAACACTGGCACAAACAATTGCTTCATGAAAGAATGTAAGCAGCAAAAATCATAATTGTCATCCAGAGAAAGAGAGATGAAGAAGAATGTCCAGGATTCCAGGGGATGAAACCTAAGAGTTGAGTAGATGAGCTCCAGCCAATCAGTGAGCCTGGGGCAAAGGGAACTTTTCCACATGGCTAATTAAAATCAGATTGGATTATTCTTGTCAGTGTTTGCATGCTGACTTTTTATTTTTTTATTTATTTTTTTTAGTTGAGGGGGGGGGAGAAGCAAGTTGTTAAGAAGAGAGAGATGGTTGCAGCAAGGAGGAGCAGCAAACGTTTAACACAGAAAAAAGTCTCAGCTTGTCACCGATTTTATGGGCAGTAAAATTTCAAAGCAATCCAAATCTATTAATGCTAGAGAAAGAAATTTCTCAATGAGCTGTAGAATTGGCCAGGAGGGAAGTCCTTTTCCCTATTGCGATTCCTCACACTTGTGCCCCCCACACCTTTTCACCCCACACCCCTTCCTTCCGCTCGGCCTTCACACACTCCAGACCATACGCTGTCGTTCCTCCTTTACGTGGCTGCTTGCTAAACTGAGCCTTTGGAATCATTAGTTCTTCCGAAGAGCATAACATTAGAAGGGAAGGCGACGCTTATGATTATGAAATGGATGCGATTCACACAATGCGGTAAGTATTCCTGGTATACATTTTCTGTCTTTCCAGTCTCATACTGTGGGTACATTTGGGGGCAGAAGCAGAGACACTATAAGCCTGCAAAATACTATTGTTCAAATTCTATTCTGTTACAAGTGGTTTGTTTGTTTGTTTGTTTGTTAAATTTATTGACTGCCCATCTTACCACAAGGTAACA